CTCTTTTTTTCTCTTGCTCCCCTGTATTTTAAAAAAAAAAAAAAAAAAAAAAAGAATGAAAGAGAGAAAGAAACAGAACAAAACAAAACATGGTAAGTGACTGTGTAACTTCTTGCAGCAACTTGGGTCACTACAAGCTTCAACCCACACTCGTGGAATCTCCTTGGACTTTTCCTCTGTGATCTCGTTCCTCTCTCAGGCCACTTCAATCTCTCATGCAGCATTTTTGTCCATCCATGCATCCATGCATTCATTCCTTCAATCATTCCCAACTTCAGGTACTCTCTGGGTCCTGTTCTAACAGATCTGATTATTTTTGTGCAGAAGAAGGATAATAACTTTGTAAAGTCAAAGTGACTAGTGGGAAAACAAAATGCTTCATTCCAATTTCACTTGAAAGTTCTACTTTGAAAGTAATTGCATTTCAAATATAAATGCAATCAGTAAAAGCCCACCATTATTTGCAAATGAATGTGTGTTTAATGAGCAACAAATAGTTTGTAATTTTCTTGGTTTTGTCTTCTGATGACATACTAAAGAGCGGATTCCACTCAGTAGCATGAAACAAATTGAAAGTTCAAGTATAATAATTGGCAGTTGACTCCAATACAACCTAAATCTCTCAAAAACAGACAACAAACTATAAAATGCACTGGTTGCTTTTTAAAATTAAAATAAGTGGGCAGAGAATTTTGGAACAAGGTCAATATTCTAGGATCTAGTGAACAGCAATGACTATGGGAAAAAGTTGAAGAATTATGCATATTTTTAGAGAAAATTTAGGCAATATTCATTAATTGACCATTGAGACTTAGGAAAATACAGAAACCACATATAATTTTAGGAATTGGTTTCTTTGTGTGAAATCAAGATCAGCAGAAATAAAAGAATACTTCAGAGGGAAACCACTGGTAAAATACTGACAGATTTTTTGAACGTATTCCTCTTGCCTAAATCTATTGCACATTATGGTATCAATAGTTCATAAAGATACATGGCATTTATTTTTTTTAAGAGAAATTTTTGTTATGAGGAATGTGTATTCACCAGAGAGGCAGAGAGAGACTAATAGAAAGGGAGCAATCACTCGGGGAGTTTGGGGGGATGACAACACCACAATCCTTTCTCCTCCGTTCTTCTCTTGGGATCTTGGGTAGCATGCACACACAGAAGGCAAGAGTTTTAAGTGGAAGAGTCCAGGACTCAAACAGCAATCAAATACATGGGAGTCCAGCGATGTAACCATTATGCCATCTGCTGGAACCAGATACATTGTATTCTTGAAAAAAAAAAACAAATATAGTGGATATTGTGTTCTCACATCAAAAATGGTAACTTTGTAATGCTACCCATTTGTTAGTGAGCTATTACAAATTGAATTATTGCACAATGTATATAAACTTCAAAATGCCCTCTTTATATGGTCATTACATTCATTTTTCCTGTTACTTTGACAATTAAAATAAAAAGCTTGATGTAGCAATTGGAATGTTTTCCAATTTCCATATTCAACATTTCTGATGGCCACTGTTGGTCTCTTCTCATGGAAAGGTATGAAAGGGCTTATTGATTATCTTAGGATTTCATACAAATCCTGAACCCTGACTAGTATTACATAGGATGTATGGAATTATAGAAATTGACTAGAACAATTTCCTATGTTCCTTGAGTTATAATCCACAAAGATCTATGGTAGCCAGATATCACATACACTTAATCACGTTTTGCAATCTTGGTTGAATTACTCACAATATAGTAGTAGAGATGCCATGATACCCACGCTGTGTGTCTATAACAATAGTCCTCTTGTGGCGCAATAACTCTGCTGAATACTGGTTTGTACATCCTTTTCTCTGTTTAAACTTCTACCCACTTTGCTCTCAGTTACTGCCTTCTTTACACACTTTTCTGATCAAATATAAACATTTATTAACTGACATATTCGGAACCAATATGTTAACCTACCTAAATCTGTCCCTTCTGCTAGTGTCACGGGCTTTATGATCTTGACTTTTTTAAAGATTCATTTTAAAGCAGTATATCTTTTTTAATTTTGCTTGAAAAGTATTTTCCTCCCAGATCATTCCCTATAATATAATATCATGCTATTAAATTTCCCATCTTTTTTTTAAAGACTTATTTGATCAGGGAACCAGCAGTTAGCGTAATGGCTATGTCGCTGGACTCCCACGTAGTTGACCACGGTTCGCGTCCCAGACCCGGTGACTTAAAACTCACACCAGGCGCGTGTGCGTGCATGCCCAAGATCCCGAGAGGAGAATGGAGGAGAAGGGATTGTGGCGTGACCATCCCCCCTGGGGGGTGATTTCTTGCTTTCCGTCTCTATGTCTCTGTCTGTCTGTCTGGCGAACGCACGCGCCCTATAGCGAAAAAAAAAAAAAAACCTCTCCAAAAAAAGGAAAAAAAAAAAATTTTTTCATTTAACTTTATTTGTTTATTTTAATTTGACCAGGGAGAGACAGAGAGAGAGCGCAACCCGCCAGGTCCGGGACTCAAACCACAGTCGGCCATGTGGGAGTCCAGCGTCTACACCACCTGCTGGCCCAAATTTCCCATCTTAATAAGCAAACAAAAAATCCTCTTGATTGTCCTCTCCGTTTGCCTAGCATCTCACATCTCTGTTTTCTCCTTGTGGCACATCACATCTTATAGTTGGGTACATTCACTGTCACCTCCTCTTCTCTTTATGCCATAGGATAGTCTCTAGCATATCATAATAGCATAAATTCAACCAAGTTTTCTTATCAAATTCACCAGAAATCAACATCCTGCGAAATCGAAAGTCACTATTGTATTGCTTGGTATTCATCCTCACAACAGCATTCCCCAGAGCTGGGGAATCTCTTCCTATGTCTTCTCTTTTTCCTTCATCACTGACCAGTCTAATTTGTCCTAATTTCCAACTCGCCCTTTTTTGCTTAAGAGTCCAGAAACTGGATACCTTTGTCTTGTCTGGCTATGTTCTCTGTCAAGAGGATCTCATCCATCGACAGGCCAGACATACTTGCTCCGTGTCAGTGACTCCCGTAAGGATACATGCACTCCTGATCGCTCTGTTAGGAAAATCCTTCCCTACGACATGGCACGATTGTCTTGTTTGTGTTATTTACTTCAGACATCATATCCTATAATGCCCCTGCTTCCTCCAGGCGACTAATCGTCATTGCACATTCTTTACACTTTCATAGCATACCTTATCGGCTATCGCCATGTTTATTTAAGATCATTTTTCGTTTCCACATGATAACTGAAATATAAGTGCCATAATAGCAAGTAACTTCTGTATTTCCAGTACAATTCGATTTCAAAAATAGCTTCATAGCATAGAGCCATAATAGATGCTTGTTGAGCAATAAGAAGACAGAGGAAGAGAGGGGGAAAGAGAAGGAGTGGGGAAGGAAGATGAGGAACAGGAAGGACGAGAATGTAGAGAAGGAGATACAAAGAGAAGGAGAGGGAGAAAAGAGAGTGGGAGGAATGAACTGTTTCTTTGCCTCACTACTGAACTAGAAAATCGTAAAAACAGTATTTGCATCTAATAACATGTCTCAGTACATATTACATAGCTAAATTTGTTTCTGCTTTAATTAAAGACATATGTTCTAAACAATGAATAACAGATTTAAATTTCTGCTTAGAACACTAAAAAACTGAAGAAGAAAAATATATAAAGTAATATATGTTTTTAGAATCATTGCCTAATGAATCAAATATTTAGGTAAACTTGGTTCAAAGCACATCAGCACGAATGTAATTGACCATTATTAAAACACGTTTGCTTGTCACAGTTAAGAGAACTTTCTACTTAAATTTTACTATATGTTGAGCCATTAATATTTTTGAGTAAATGAAAGAGAAACAAATTTCTACATCGCCATGATTTTCTCCCTCCTGAAAATACATTTCCGATTTCCAAAGAAGTCACAGTTTATATCTTATGAAAGCCACTAACCTTTACGTAGGTATATTTAAAATATTGATAATGATCAAAGTGGATCTTGAAAAGGAACTTAAAATGGATACATTTGTACAGATATGTTCAACCACATGGTTTTAGTTTTGGTTTTCAAGTTCCATCGTGTTGATGCACATTTAATGCATATTTGTCTTGTAAATTATAAATTGTCTTATCAATTTTTCCATTTCTTTCTTTTTTTAATTTTTTGAACGTTTTTTACCACAAGGTACACGTACTCACCAGACAGAGACAGAGAGAGACAATGAGAGGGAAAGTGAGAAACCACCTCCTCTTGGGGGTTGGGGGGTATGGCCATGCCATAATCCCTTCTCCTCCATTATCCTATTGGGATTTGGGCATGCATGCATACATGCCCAGCATATTTTCAGGCTGCCAGGTCAAGACTCCAACCATGATCAGCCATGTGGGAGTCTAGCACCTTAATCACTCTTCCATCTTCTGGACACCAACTTTTTCTATTTCTACATGTAGATATTATACAATTATCCTACTTCGTTTTTTGAGATATGAAAGTATATTTTGTACTTGAAAAACAATTCTGATATTTAAGAATTTAGTAAGTAGGCAAGTTAAAGAGTTTTATTAATCACTCAAACGTGTCTAATATTTATTTTTCTATTGCTTAAAAGAATGTGATGACATCTTAGTAATGCGAGTGATTTATTAATGCACAGTACTTTTTCATTTTTTGCAAAATTTCAATGCATACTTCTATTTTTCCTAACATGATACTTAACCATATTTGTAGAAGGAACTACAAGTGTAGAACTTTAAATAATCTACTTCCTAAACTTTGTTTGAAATTCAACATCTGTTTTCATTATTAATATTTGATGTAAATGTAATATGCAGTACCTTCTGGAGACATCTCTGGGACAATGGCCTCATAAGGTTCATCTAGGAATTTGGGTTCATTGTCATTGATATCCGAAACTCTGATGACAAATTCAGACTCAGGTTCCACAGCCCTTCCAGTAGAGGTGTCGATTACCTGGGCTCTGAGCATGTAGAGGGCTCGTTCCTCTCTGTCAAGCTTCTCTATGGCATATATGTCACCAGTTTTCTTATCAATCATAAAAAGACGTCCAGCTCCAGGCCCTGAGAGCTTGTACTGGAAAGAGTTGTTGCCATTGTCTAAGTCAGATCTTAGCTGCAAGTGCAAACAGGCACAGTTTAGTTCCCAGGCATAGTGAAACGGACACATAGATTGTAATGATTTTATTTTCATGTATGTTAACTATTTTCCAAGTTAATATTCCTGTAAAATATCCGTATTATATTAAATAAGTTAAAATATTAACTTCAACATTAAAAATCTATCACTGGACAGAGGAAAGATCCTAAATCTCTAATACAAAGAACTATGCAAATTTTATTATTTCAAATAGATGGTTCTAAACAGAAACTATAATAGATAAAAAACAAAGCCTCTGTTATAAATTATACATAACATAGCTGGTTCAATTTTATGATTACATTCTCAGTCACTTAAAGCATACTTTAAAAATATTTACGCTAAGTTGCAACCTGAACACGGGTAGGAAGATAATACTCTAGGTACATTTAGTCAGTGATGGTATGTCTCTGAGCTAAAAATACATAGAACACATGCACATATAGAAAGAGAATTAGAGCGCATAATGAGAAGATTAAAATAAATATCAGTCATCCATTGGTTATTTATTACATGACACAAAAATCTACAAATTGCTTTATATTCATTTTTGTAAATAGTTGTCTTTTTAAAAAAGAATTATTTTATTTAATTTTATTTATCAATTCATTTATTTATTGTTTTAATTTGACCAGAGAGAGACAGAGTGACAGAGAGAGAAAGACAGAGAGAAAGAGAGAGAGAGAGAAAGTGAGAAAGCATGACACCAGGTCTGGGACTCAAACCATGATTGGCCATGTGGGAATCCAGCATCCTTGACCACTGTGAGATACACAGGATTGATGTAATTAATCCTTTCCATGGAGAAGGACAGTGTGACAAAATTTTAAACAGCTCCCCAAAGTCCTCAGGGTTCTGTGTAGGTTTATGGTTTATACCAGAGGCTTTTCTAATCTCACAGCTTCTCTTGATAATATGTATGCAGTATGATTTTCAGTCTTTTTTTTGTGGTCAAAAGATATAAAACTATTTCTTCATAGCATATCTACTTAACTTTCAATTCATATGTTTTCTTTCTGTGCCCTGACCATTTTTCTTTCTTTTTTTCTTTTTTGCAGAGAGGGTTTTCCTCTATTATGAATAATATTATTCAGACTTTCTGGTTATGGCTATTTTAATTTGATAGTACTTACTTACTTATAAGACAAAAAATAAAGAAATTTTGGGAAACAAATGTATATTCCAATTGTTAAGTTAAATGAACAATGTAGAATATCATTTCTACTAATACAATTTTAAAATTTATTCAATAGTAGAATGAATATAAGTTAAGTCTAGTAATGAATCAATGTATTCTAATATATTCATAGTGTAATTTTAAAAGTTTGTTAAGCTTGATATGTTTAAAGACCTAGAGAGAGATCAAAGGGAGAGAGATCAAAAAAATTTACTTAAATCCCAAAGTGCCCATGTTAAATACATTTCAATCTCCCAGACTCTATATTATAACATTTTCTGTTGTTTTACACATAAACATATGTTTCCACTGGGTAGCTACTATCAATTTGGCAAACCAATATCACTTATATTATTACTTAACTTATTGCTTAATTATATTTTCCAATTTTAATATCATGTATAAAATGGATCAAAAGAAAATTATCCTGAATACATCAGTTGCATTTTTTCAAACCAGTTCCTTAATTACAAGCACTCAAATGTCCATTATTCTTCTCTTTTAAACTTGGTGTTGTTTGTTATTAAAGCCTGATAAAATTGTTTATGGAAAAAATCTCTGTTATTTTCAAAAATATTTTTATGAACTGAAAAAATAGGCAAAAATCAGTTGTCATGATGGACAATTACTATGTATGGTAATATCTTTGACTTGCTTTTCATGCAATTCAGGTATGCTTGGGGAACCCATAGTATATGCTATAAAGAACATTCAATGATAGATGCAAATATATAAAGAATTAAAAAAGAATTTAAAAAAATCAATCACTGTGTGAGAGTAAACAGATTTGTGTAGGGAGCAGAAACAAACGAGAGAATGTGACAGCCACAGAGCTAGTCTTTGTTCCACCACACAGAGACACTTCCCTGCAGGTCCTTATTTACTAAAAGTCTTCAGGTGATGTGAGCCTGTCACCCACTCAGTGACAGGAGGGCATATGGTACTCTGCAGAGTCTGTAAACGTAGCTGGAGAGACAGTTAACTACAGAAACTCAACTCATTTGTCTCATTCATGCATGTGATTTACCTGTAATCATCATTGAAAATAAAAAGACGTGAGAGATATTACTCCTTATTGGTGCACATTCGCACACACAGCATAAATGTGAAAACTGCTTGCCTGTGTAATCCTAGTCTAAGCCTTGGGTCGGAAATACTCATATACATATGTCTGATAGGGCAGGTGAACTTCTCTGAAATTCAGACACCATGCTAATGCTGCAGCTCTCTTGAAAGGACTAGAAATAGAGTTAATGAATTTTGAGTGCTTCACCCTTTGGGCCCAATTAAATTTTAGTGCCAGTTAATTAGCGGTTAAACTTATTTCAGTTCATTCATCTAGAGAAAGAGCCTTACAGAAAAGGACACAATATTGTAATTACCTCTGTTTAAAGAAAACCAAATAACAATAAAAACCAAAAACATAAATAGATGTTCTGTCTCATTAAGGAAATTTCTTAAAATATATTCTTCTAAGAAAGTGTAAATAATTATTCTTTGTACTGCCACTTCACTAATCACATGAAGTGTGCAGGCCTCCGAAAGTACTTAACTGTAAACGGATATGGTATCACTCGCTTCATTAAAAATGAATGAGGGGTAAATCGACAGCTACTTAGCATCACAGAAAATCAAGCTAAATACTTGGTCAATGATATTTATCTTGGTGCGGCCGCTATGAGCCATTACCAAAAACAACACCATCAAATATCTAGATGTTGATTAATGAGGGCTCATTTTCTTACAGGAAATCTGATAAAAGTTTAAAACCAGAACTGTTCCTCTTTTTCTCATTTTAGTGTACATTTTAGGTGCTTGCAAATATGAAGCAATTACTTATGCTAGTGTTTGGGTTCTCCCAAGGGTTCCATTGAGAAAACGTAGAGCTCATCAAATACCAAAACTTGCCCGATTCACTTATTTATATTGTTCCGATGCTATTTCCTACAACATTTTCAGAAAGTAAGTACCCGGCCAATGTGATGACTGGTTGAATTCATTTCCTCTGGTACAAAAAATTGGTTCCACACCCAGCCACGCTTCACTCTCAAATGAGATCCCACTGGCTGTTCAACGTGCTCTGTTTTACCGTTTTCTGTTGCTGTAAGGCGAGGCGATAGGAGAGGAACTCCCAGCATAAAAAATAGCAATAAGCTACTCATCCTGATGCCTCTTCTGATTCTAATTGTTACTCTTTGGAGAAAACGGAATGTTGCATACAGAATCTTGTGCTCCTTTGGAATCGTTCTCACTCTTAAATATCTTTTTATATCCCTAGAACATAAGAAACAAAATAAAATTTGACATTTAAAAATAACGTTTTCTCAAAAATTTACATTTCTCACAAAGTTACTAAACATAGGTAAAAACCTTTGCATCTGAAGAAAATGGAATAAAATTACACATTTAATTTATCTTCCAATTAATGCACTTAGTTATATTTTGCAGCCCAGCTTTAATTTGTTTGGAATAATTATAAATTTCTGCTTAGGCACCCTTCATTTTAAACTGCAGTCATAAATCTGCCTCAAGGTTGAAAAGTTGTTCTAGCAATCTCCTTGATTGACAGCTGACATTGAGATAGATTTTTTTTTTTTTTTTTTAATTTCACTTGCTTACTCTCCAAAGACAGCTGACATTGAGATAGATTTTTTTTTTTAATTTCACTTGCTTACTCTCTTACTATCTTAGTGAAACTCAAACTATCTGGTTAAAGCAACAGTCAAAGCAGGAGGAAAAAATAGTATTTCTCCTCTTTTTGTTCAAAGAAACAAGCTTTCTCATCTAATTTTCTAAATTTGATTTTATGTGATTAATTAAATGGACAAAAAAATGACAATTCTGCTTAAAATCTGATGGATTTAATAAGAGATATTTATACCGGTGCTATTACAAAATGCCCTCAATGGAAAGCCTGTGAAAGATTTTTACTCTTTCACACCTGAAAAGATATGGGAAAGAAGTGTTTATTTTAACACAAAATTAAAGCCAGTGTTAGCCAATAAATGAAAAATAACAGTACCTGGGAAAAAATAGCCAAATGTTTGCAGATGAACATGAAATGTGTCTTCTAATAGTCAAATATTATAACAAGAACTCAGCCTTCAGATTATGGTTAAAACTTACCATTTACCTGAGGCCGATTTTACCAACTGTCTGTCAAGATTGGTAATTCCCAATCTTGTATTTAATTAAGTAGCTTTGTATTCCCACATCTACATAATACTTTCATACAACCAAATTGAATTTCTTTGCTTCTCATGAAGAAAAATAATTCTGTGAAATCTACAATGGAGTTTAATACCATAAAATCAATAGGAGATCCACAGAGTCCCATACTAGGAGTATTTTGGAATGATCTTGTTTTGAATCTTCTGCATGCATTTTGAACATCTCTTGAGACTTTTTTTAGGTCTTTGGCATTTGTTAGGATGGACTGTTAAAAAATTCCTAATTAAGAAAGAACATGAGGATTTTGCAGTCCCTCTGTAGTTCATTCAAGCAGATGTAGTCTATGTTTTAAGTTTATTTACTGACGGTCATGAAGATATTCAGCTGAGGTAAAAATGTGAAACTGAATTTTATAATTATGATCCATTTTTAACATTCAAACACTGCATTTTATTTAGAAATTGCTAAAATACATCCTTTTTATAGCTGCTGAAGAGTAAAACTTGGGACGACTACGACTTTTCTTATGAGAAAGCTATTTTGTGTAAGTCAGGAGAGCCAACACTAATACTGACATGAATTTCACTTGTCATGTTGGGCAAAAATGTTTTTGGCTAAGGTTGTAATGTATTTTTATATATTTAAAAATAGAGAAAATAGTATAATAAATACTGTACATTATTATGCAACTTCAACAATTACCAACATGGATCATGGCATAAAGAACCGTGTGTGTGTGTGTCTTGCAATAAATAAAAGACCATAAAAAATAAACATGCACAGTTGAACATAAATATTGTGTAGGTGTGTGTTACATTTAAAAGAATTAAAATCAAACTTTAAAATACTTAAGGATAGGGGCTTGATGGTGGCATATTGGTTAAGATATTGGATTGTCACATGGTCAACTGTGCTTAGAGTCCCAGACCTGGTGGCTTGAAAATCATGCTGGGCACATGTGTATTCATGCCCCAAATTCCCAGGAGACAAATGGAATCTCAGAAGAGATTGTGGTATGACCATCCTCCCAGATGGTGATTTCTCATTTTCCCTCTCACTATCTCTCTCTGTTTCTTTCCTTTCTGGTGAGTATACATGCCCTGTGGCCAAAAACTTAAAAAATAATAAGAATAAGTATTTAATCAGCTATCCAGGATTCAAATACACACATTTTCAAACATCGTTTTCAGAATTCAAATATGCCCACACAATGCAGGTTGGTGTTATAATCCTAAAGTCTCATTTACTGCACGCATTTCCTCACACTGTTTTTCATCTTCTCTCCCTTTTATGTGCTAGACGGGCAAGGTCATTTATCCTATCCATTTTCACATTCTAGATTTTGCTAGCTGACTCCCTGTGGTATGATTCAACATCTTTATCCTTTGTATTTTCTACAAATTAGTAGAGACTTGATTATATGCACTTTAAATGTTAGTCAAAAATCTTCATAACTATAGTTTGTACTCCTACTGCATCACAGTCTGAGGCACAAAATAAGCTCGTTAGTTCACATGTTGATTCTAGTACGAAATGTGTGGGTGAAAATAAATTGCTATGTTTATTTATAATTTTTTTGAAAAAATTCACTATTTATCCATCAATGTGGTAGAATATTTAATATATAGAGAAGCAAAATTTATGATGATAATGGTGCAAGCAATGGGATGTGAAAAATAAAAATATCTGGTAGTCATCTCTTTACAATTTAGACAAATAACACAACAGTAATTCAATAGACTGCTGTGTCGAGGGAAGGATGCACATTGAAATTACTGGAGTAGTCACTACAAACAAAATAAAAGGGAAATAGAAGTCTTAAAAAGTATTAGTACCTTAGTAGTCAGTAAAGTAGAAAGAAAAAGGTAACTAAAGATTGCATAGTAAATGCTACTAAATCAATCACTACATTAAAAAGAAATTAATGAAATCTTGAGTGTAAGCAGAAGTTGTCAGATGATATTTGAAAACTTAAACTATATACTATTTAGAAGAGGAATACTTTAATTATAAATATAGACAGGTCATAAGCAAAAGGATAGAAAAAGATATACAATAAAGTGATGGCATAAGTTAGCTGAAATGGCTGTGTTAATGTCTCTGGTGCAAGAGCTCAAAACTATAAATATTATCTATAATAAGTATGAATATTTTATAAGGGTAAAAAAGTAAAGTCATTAAAAAAGCCTAATGGTCCTAAATGTGAGTGAACTTAATATCAGTTTTAGAATACATGAAGCAAAAATGATCAGAACTAAGGAGAGATAAACAAAGCATGATTGTAGTGGAATATTTACCAAACTTAAAATAATTAACATGTGTAGAGTACCAAATAGAATATAAATATTTTTCAAGTGTATAAGACACATTTCCAGTGATAGCACTTATGCTGGGCAATAAAAAACAAACAATAAAAACAAACAAACAAACAAAAACACTGTTTCATTACTTTGTAAAAGCTATAATACTATTGAGTACATTATCAGGGGTGGTAGTGCAGCAGAGGTAACACAACTAGATCCACATGGTAAAAGTCTTGAGTTCACACCCTGAGACCTCTCTTGAACATGCATTCCCATGATCAAGGCTATTTAAAAGTGGAGTGGATCATGGTACGATTGAGGATTCTTTGGTCAAGGTGTCTGGCTGTCTCTGTCTCTTCTTCTTTCTCTTTCATGGAATAAATATACAAATAATTTTTAATGTAGACTTTAATAGCAAAATTATATCATAAAATAACCATGCAGTTTAAAAATTAAAAACATTGTGATAGTTTAAAATTAAGAAAATAGATTCTGCCTTCAGCGTGTCATCTAGGCAACTGCTTAAGGCAGCTGAATCCCAAATAACCAACTGCATGATTCATGACCCAGACCTGGTGGTTTGGAAAACACGCTGGTAGAATGTGCATGCAGTCAAAATCCCAAGAGAAGGGAGTGTAGTGTGACCATCCTCCATGGGGGTGTTTTCACACTTTTCCTCTCTCTCTCACTGTCCCTATCTCTCAGCAAGTGTATTCACCCTATGGCATATTATTCTCACTCTCCAGAAAAAAAAAAAAATGCTAAAGAAAGAAACTAAAACCTTATCTCAACATATACAAAAATTCACTCAATAAGATTTAAACATAGGGTATATGCTTGAAGATGTCGTTCTGGACAAAAATTATACAAAATAATATTTCAGATTTCAAGCATCAAAAGTAGACATAGACAAATGTGATTAAACCAAACAGAAGTTTTTTCGCAACAAAAGAAGCAATCAGCAGAGTGAAGATACACTCTATAAAATGGGAGAAAATATTTGCAAGCTATACATATAAAGAGGATTAGTAAGATACATATGCACAACAAAATATTTTTAAGCTATAAAAAGTGTAGAATCCTGTCATTTGAGGCAACATCGATTAACCTTGAGGAAATTATCCTAAGTGATAGAAGCCAAATACTGAAAGAAAAATACTGTATAATGATACCCATTAGTGCTAGGTAAAGGATTTGGTGACATAGAAATAGTATACAGTAAATACCAGTAGCTGGGAAAGCAGGGAAGAAGGGAAGATTGGAAGAACTTGGTTAACAAATACAAAATTGCAAATGGATAAGTAGAATGGGCCCTAGAGTTCCATAACCCAGTATAGCAGCTATAATTCAATGTACATTTCAAAATAGCTGGAAGAGAAGATTTTGAATGTTTGCAATAAAATGTTAGTGGAAAATCTTTGAGAGGCTGGTTATATTTATTGCCCAGCTTTGATCAGTGCACATTGTATCTATGCCATAAAATATTATACTTTATCTCATAAATATGAACAATTATTGCATGCAATTAAAATTATAATAATTTAGAAATAAGATTAAAATATTGAATTAAACTCAATGTAAGACATAAAAAGGAAAAGTAAAGAGTAGAAATCAATAAAATAGATGTAACAAAACCAAAGAAAAAATTATCCAAATCAGTAGCTGCTTCTTTTAAAATATCAATAAAATTAATAAATAATAAGCCAAAATGATAGGCAAAAAAAAGAGAGAAAAGAAAGTATAAATGAACATTGTCTAAAACAGAAGAGAAGTTAGCAATAGATATTTTATAAATTTACA